TTACAGTAATACGAATTTACTTTTCAGGTGAAACAGAGATGAAAAGAATCTTCTGATGAAACTGTTTCCTTTGAAAGTTCAGATTTGTCAAGACCAAAACTTATGGCAGAAGTGTGTCAGTGTAGGTGGAAACAATGTCTGATGGGCGAGCATCTTGACTCGGCTTATAAATTATGGAGATAGCAAAAGAGAGAAGACTGTCAGTTGGTCTACATAAGAGTTGATAACCCAGCATTCCTAGGATGTGGCCTCTCAGATGGAACTTCAAGTCCCATGCGTGAAAAGGCAGGATGTAGATCTTGAGGTTCTCCTGTTTCATTGTGCACTAGAATGCCAGTTACGAGGCTGTTTCCTCTTTCAAAGCAAATTGGTCTTATGCTCTCCAGCTCAACCTTTTCTGCTATATTAATTGAAAAGTTATGGGGGCACAGGAAGAGCAAGAGGATAATTCTGGAACTGAGTGAATATAGATGTGGGAATCTGAGATCAAGCTTCCTGATTTCCTTTCCCTGTGATAGTTCAAAGCACTGGGCTACTGGCTCCATTGCACTCTCTTATCCTCAGGACTTGGTATTGAAATCTTAGAAAAGTTTGTGAGGATCAAATGCACATAGTCCTACTTTGTAGAAGAAGAAGAAGCCATTTCTGAGTGATCATGCAGCATGAACTTTTGGCACATGAAAAGTGTTTTTGAAGATTTTGTTCAGGCACTTCAATTTTATGAAAACTGGATGAACAAGTGAATGAAACTTAGTTCCCAAGGATAAAATGCTGTTTCAGCCCAACAGCATTATGACCAGATTGATGTTTTTCAGTCTTATAAAGCATCTTTACTCTCTAGTATGGCCAGAGGTAGTACAAGCTGAGAACCATTTTTAGTCACTGCTCTGGTTCTGTCAATGATCAGAGCCTTGTTACTGAACCTGTCCTCAAAAAGTAAACCGCTTTTCCCATTCTTGATTGTATTGATTTCTTTATTTTAAAAGCTGCTTAAAATAAAGCAGTCTCCTGCTGATAAGAGCATTCAGAGGTAGTCTGGTTCTAATTTCTGGAACTAAGCTTTACTTGTCCTGTTAACTATTTATATGCCAGGGCACATGCAAAAGCTTTCTGTCCTTTCAGAGCATATATGCCTAATACATCGGAATGATTAAACTTCCTGAATAGGGGGGAAAAAAAAAATCCTGTGCACATGAAACAGAAGGTAGCAAGTCTAAATTACTAAATTACAAGTAGTTGTGTACAAATGTGGCACAAGCTCTTAAGAGCACTTAGAAACCTAGGCCTGTAAAATGAGGTCTGAGTTATGGGGTTATGGCCCTGGTTATCCCAAGTTCCATAAAATGGAATTCCTCTATGAGTTTATCCAGTTCATCCTTAAGTGCAGTTATGCTCTTCCTTTCTCCCTACTCCCTCAGCTCCATCCAGTGAAAGGCTGTCCTAATACAAGTTGATTTAGTGATCAGGAGCATTTTGGTATCTACCAGCCGTGGTAACTCCCAGCCCATCTAGACCTCTCTGCAGACATACTAGTCCTTTCTGACCTCCACTCTTCAGGATAACTTTGGGTTGAGTAGAATTTGAGGTTCTACTGAAAAATAGCCCAAGTTTCTGGGCTCATTTGAACTAAGATGGTCTGAATGATAGGACTGTGCCTTAGCCCTGGAGTATCATGGAGGGTAGTACCAATTCAACACTGTATAAGAAAGATCGGAGTGATGGTTAATGTGCTTCCCCTGTGCGATGTGATGTTCAGCTGAAGAGCAAGGCTCCTCCTGAAAGAGCAGTGTGTATCGATACCTGAGAATTGAAGTTATCCCTGAAAAGCTGCATTTTGTGTCCAGTGAGAGCTGTCTGGGAAGAGAGTGAGTTAAACTACAGATCTGACGCTCTGATGCAGTAGCATCTATAAGCGGTAAAATATTTATTGATTAGGTACCATCATGCAGTTTGCCTTGCCCATGTGTGAGTGCTCTGCAGTTTTAAGAACCAGTGGAAAGTGCTATGTAAGGGTGCGTGGAAGCAAGAACTTCTCTAGATGTTACATTTAGTATGCTGGGATCTCGCTGCTTTAAGCTTTTGAAATCCCCAGAGAAGCAAGTTGGAATAAATAAGACTGGGATAATTTGTGTGGGTTTTTTTTTTCCCCCCCTAAAGGAGTGGTCTGTTTATTTTTATTTTTATTTTCTTCCTCCTTCTAAATGTGGAGTTTGAGCAAGATGAAATGGAAATTCCAGATATATTCAAAGTTTGAGCATGGTAAGAGAATTTACTGTCTGCACTTACAAGATGTAATAAAGATTGCCTCAGAAATGAAAAGATTAAAGGACAGAAATTTGGATATGGAAGTCTGTAGGTTTGTGAATGCTTGTAGTAAATTTATTAATGGTGAATGCAAAACAGCATATTTATTTGCCTTATTTTATTCAGTTTATTTTACCTGAAAAGTAATTCAATGTAAGAATTGGATGCATGTGGATTTCTTCAGGGTAAGAATGTAAATTCATGGTGTTACCAGCCTGCGAGAAGAGGAGGTGAGATGGGTTAATATATTAGCCCAACTCGTGGAGAAAAAGACAAACGGCCAAGAGGATAAAATTTTTGACAGTGTCTACAGTGATTGGGAAGACAGTCATCCCTTTTTGAAGGGTGTGGAGGTGGAGATGGGGTTAATCCTTTTTCGAGTTTACATGTCATCTAAGGACTATTGACAAAAGAAAATCCAGACATTCAAAATTACCTTGCTTTGGTCATGTTTTTTTTTTTCCAAATCATTTTATCTGAGCTATTATTAGGTATCTTGTATGTACATTGAACTCTGATGTGGTATAATTGTAACGCAAGTTCATTTGAGGCAGCAAGTTTATATTTATCACCTTGAGTGAGAAGCCTCTTCTCTTATCCTCTTCTACACTGAATATTGAATGAAAAGATAGAAAAAAAAAATGTCTAGAAAATACATGATCTTTACACCCACAAACAAATCTCCCATGCTGAGTTAGGGGTCAGAATGATGTGATCCCTTAGTTTATAACTATTTATAGTTTATATGCTCTAAATTCTATCAGCAAGTACAGCGATATGTTGTGTTCAAATCCTCTGATAATGTGTCCCATCTGTACCATAGTCTGAGATGCGCTGCGATTTGTTAGTATGTCTTAATGCATGCAGACTCTTCATGTTCCAAAAATTCCTCGTTAAATGATTGTTCTGTATCCTCTAAGAGCTGGCATGGCTGAAATATCATGTCTAGAAAAAGTTTAACTGTTTGTCTTCCTCGTGTACATTATCCCCTACACTATCACTATCATCTACAGCGTACCTTCTGTTTTATGGCCATATAATCCTACTAACTAGTTTCAGTGAAACCCCACTGTGCTCAGCCCCCATAGTCGTTGTTCTCCCCATCGTTCCTTGTATTGCCAGCATTTTGCAGCTCTAAGTAGTGGACTGGATGACAATATTTTCTTCTGGTTTGTCTCTGACTTCTTTTCATTGTATTTCCCTCTGGTTTTGCACCTTGGATAATACAGATAATGAGATTAGTAGTAGTATGCAGCACCATTTTTTTTTTCTCTTCTTTATTAACCACGTTGTATATGGGTATTATTATGTCCCTCCCACAGGAATCTAGAAATAGGGAAAAAAACAACGTAATATATATCTGCATGGGGGAAAAAATATAATTGGTATTAATTGGATGAAGCTGGAATATTTACTAAAAGAATTGCACTAGTCTTGCCTGATTGTGTGCTTAAATGCAGTAGCATAGCAGATGAGAAAAAGGCTTTTCAAAGACCATGCAGTCCAGAGCTAGCTAATGAACCTAATGTGATTTTTGTATCATTTTTGTCCACCTATTTTTACTTTAAACATTTTAATCTAAAAATTAAGCATACAGCAAGACAAATATATCTTACCAAGTGACTGTATCTTTTGCAATGTAAAGGGTAATAAATGTGATCTCCGTGAGAAGATATTGCTGTGCGATATGACTGTGTTTTGATTCTGTGGTTTGATATTTTTTTCCCTCAGCTTTGTATTATAAAATTTTGCATATTTCCAGGTCAATTACTGGGGTGCTAATACTCTTGCTGTCACTGATCTTTATAGTGTTGTAGAGTATATAAAGATTTTATCACAACTTGTGCGTGTTAGTGCATACTGAGAGTCAATAACAAATTGAACTGTGATCAGCTAAATTTTGTTTTGTTTTTAAACATAAGCACCTGTTTACTGTACCTTTTGTCACATTATTTGGATTTATTCTACTGTCAATGAATGAATTTCCTCAAAGCTATCAAGTAATAAATACATATTTTAACTTGAGGTCAGAAGATTGGGGGTGTGTGTAGTTATATATGTGTATGTGTGTGTATTAAATATATTTTTAATTCTAAAAGCCAAGTCAGTTTTCTATCTGCCTTTCTATGAATATAGAAATGTAAAAGAGGATAACAGTTTAGCAGGATTGCAAAGAAAAAAAAAAAAAAAAGAGTTCAGCTTGACCTGATCTGGGGAATATTCAGACTTCCTTATTTGCACAGTTGATTTAAAAGTGTTAGTATGAACCAAAAGATATTTCCTTCTCTGACCCATGAACTAGTCCCCATGTAAAGAGCTTTTTTCATAATGCACAGAATATATTATCTCTTTAAGGGCAGGAGAAATGGAAGCAAATTCCTCATATGCTCAAAAAAATGCTGAACGCATCTCAAAGCACTGTTCCTGATGATGCAGATTGATGCTGCAGATAAATATAAGATTGAATTTTTTTTTAATTGTTAGTAGAGATCTTTTTAAAACCACTACATTCATTTCTTTTAAGGTAGATTTGTGTTAAATCTTCATAGGGAATGAAGAGCATAAAACCTAATCTGAATTGATACAGGAGTGGATAACAAACTGTTTGTGTTGGAAGCAAACAGTTTGATATTTTGAGCTTGTATTTCTTATACAATGAACTTCTCAACTTTTTTTTTTTTTTTTAATAACCACAGCAAGACCAGCTTTATACTTGGGCTGCAGTTAGCCAACCCACACATTCATCGGATTACATTGAAGGAAGCTTTCCAAGGAGAATTCCATCTGCGTGGCCCCCACCCAAACCTCCAGATGAGGAAAAAAGACTCAAAACTACGGAAGGAGGTAGAGTTCTTGGATCCAAATGTGATACATGGCACAGAGAGGGAGGGCAGAGCTGCTGTGTTTGGGAACCTGAGGCATAATGTAAGATATTAACTTCTAACAAATATGTGATTTTGAAGATCTAGGACTAGAAATACTACTAGCTAGCATGAATCTGATCAAAAATAGTCAGCAAAATCCATACTTTTTTAACCGTCAAGATGTGCAGCTGGCATTGGCTGACTAATGGATTTTGCCAGGTGTTGTGATCTTTGTTCTTCTCCAGTTTATGTTTCCTCAGAGCCATGAAATAGAAATACTTTTCTCTCCTTAAGAAAAGGAAAACTTCAGAAGGCCACTAGTGATACACTGAATGTTATTAGAGTGGTGTGAGGTATTCCTTTGTGGATTCAGCAGTTTCTTGCTGACAGAAAAGCAGTTTATCTGAAAAATAAATTGAGGTCTTTCTTAAGAAGTCTGTTTATCTTAAAAGTCATTCAGTTGCTATACCAGCCTGCCAATTTATTTTTAAAGCTTCTGTGCTTTCATTAAAAACTTTATTTTAAGCTGACAATTAAATAAAGCTAGATTTTTTTTAAAAGAAAAGTTTTATAGCTTAGAAAGAAATACAAAAGAGAATTTAAAACATGTTTTCTATTAATGTGGGCAAATACCACAGGTTCTTGGAGGACAGGTTTTGCATTACTATTCAACAAGTCTCAACACTGTCAGGCTGCATGCATCCCCGTGACCTCCATGGTGAGCCACTGGCTATTCTCAAATTTTCCGTTTCCTACCACTCCTTTTTTTCATTGCTCAAATTTGAAGAATTAAGTCATTATTTCAACAGAGCTGTTTGTATTGCTTGTAGGCTTTGGGTGGAGTTAACTCCAGTTTTGTTTCTCTTTGGGATTTCTTTTACGGCTTCCTCTGAAACACAAGCAAAGTATATAAATGAACATCATAGATCATAGCAACACTTTACTTTTTCTGGTATCATTTATTCCAGTGTTCACAAGAAAAATAAGCGATGCCGACTGAAATGCAGCATTGCATTATAATTCTGCAGTGCCGTTTGTGCCGTGGCTTTTAGCAAGGCAGCTCTATTAGTCATCAAGGGAATGCTGCACCCGTCTCACTGATGTAGCTCAGAAAGTGAAACATGACAATACTTGAATATTGGACTAGCCACTTTTAGACTAACAAGCCACTGTTTTATGTTAGCTGCAATGAGGGGCTGCCACATGTGATGGCTGAATTCGCTGTTGGGTTCTTGAAAAGTCACTCATCTTTTGACATGGAGATTAAGCTAGTGGACAAGCATTCGGAATTTTTAGGGACAGACACTGGACTAGAAAGGCATAAGGCTGAAAACTGCTTTTTATTTTACTTATCTACTTTAGCCCAGCAAAGGCTGATGCAAATAAACAATGTGTTTGTGGTGTGTGGTTTCTTTTCTTTCTTTCTTTTTTTCTTTTGTTTGCTTACCTCCAGGTTTGTATGCTCTAATATTTATAGAAGACAGCTGATTAAATTATTTATAAATATGTGAATTTTGGGTGTTTCCTGATTAAGAAGAGTTTTTACCATTAGGATAATATCAATAATTTTTAAACATGTTCATCTTCTGCATGGTTTATTTCCTTTATATAATGTTCTGTCTAATATTCCTCTTCTATAGGCATAATGTTTAGAGATTTTCTCTGCTCCTTTTGTCAGTTGCAGCCTTGTCAAACAAATGCAACTGAAAATCATCATTTTGTGCATGACACAAGCATTTTACGAGTACCCCTGTCGATGTGCAAAAATATTAAGAAAATAGAATTAAAGTAAAATGGAAAATTGTGTATTGTGACCAGTTCTAAATGGAATATAAAGAGTTCTCAAAAATCACCTGACGTGTCACCTTTACACGTGTATTCAGTTCTTCTTTTCTTTGCTTGTTGGTGTGAATTTGAAGCATAAGACATGGAAGGAAGAGCTAAAAAGTGACTTTTCCTGAATACTATTCAGGCAGATGTAGAATGTCATTTTTTGTTTTATTATTTGCATGCTTGCCATGTGGAAGATCCTGGAGGTGAGTGACCTTTCAGGTGAACACTGAAAGGTAGAGGACCCAAGATACATGGCAAAATTGTCTTATGTGTACGTGTCTTTTCGAGCTGGAGGGGCAAAGCATCTTTCTGAAGATTGAAACTACTGTGTATACAGAAGCTGTATTTCTGCATTAAATTCATTTATTGTTGTATTAGCTAAAGATACAGTATTCAAATTGGAGATAATAACTTCTAAACAAAAACTTTAATTTTAGGTGAGCTATTGATTCAGCGGGGAATGTGGCAGGATTTTTTTTTGTGTACAGTACTCTTATACATTACTTTGAGGCTTTAAGTAAGGCAAAAGTGAATTCTGCAAGAGTTAGGTAATCCATCCCTAAAATAGCAAAGCATGTAATCATCAGTTTAATGTGGTATATATTAAATAAATTTGCTGTGTGCTCTGTGGGGACAAAGAGAAGGAATGTTGTTGAGTGTAGGAAGAGAATTATTACAGAAATTAGAGGTTTGGATTTTTCACTATTTGTTGTTGTTTAAGGAAGGTTACCTTGGCTATTTTGTATTTTGTTTTTTTTTTTTAAAAAAAGAAGTTTGGAAATATCTAATATAAATATCCGTTCAAGACTTTAGATCCTTTTACCAACAACTCAGATTCCCATTTCCATTCTGAATTCAGATAGGTTTGGCGACTAATGTGGCAATAAGTTCAGTGATTATGGCATGGATGTGTGTGTGTGTATATATATATATGTATGCAGAATCTAAATCTGTTTCTTCCCTTCTTTTGGAACTAAACCCTACTAACTTCATGCTGTAGCACATTGTCCAAATCTAGATATAACAGGGCATTAGATATTTGATTGTTTTCATTCTTTGCTGTTGATGCCGTTCCACTTAACGTACAGGAAGAGGCAACGACACCTGGGTACCGGAACCCAGGCATCCTTTGCCCCTGTAGTTTGTCCTAACCACTTGGGCTTGTGATTAACGAAACTGAAACAGCCCCAACATGCTAAATTTCTGAGATACAAGTTAGTGTCTTTACCAAAACTAGCCTTGTCCAGACACATATTTCCTTTGCTTTATACAAAATGAACAAAGCAAATATGGTCTTGGGCTAAAGCGAACATGTCTTTTATTGAATAACACTTTCACTTTTCTTTCTTTTTTGGGGGGTTTTGCTTAGCAAAGAATAATAATTAAAAAAAAAAGTAGTTTGAGGATAAATGGGTTTAATTTTGCAAGTTTTGGTAGCCTAAGCTTAAAATTAACTGTTCATATTGCCCTGGATTGAGCTTATATTTATAACAAAGATCGCCTAAACTGAAAAATAACCTAGAGATTTGTATCGCTATTAAATATTGATAAATGTATTGACACTGTCTTTTCCCATATCATTCATATTTCCTTTCTTTCAGTACTTCGACAGAAGTTTTGCAGTAAAGGGCACAATTTGCCTGATTTGCAGAACAGGAAACATTAGCAAACAGGAAAGATACTGGTTAACTGTGGTTTGGCTGGAGCTGACTACCAAGAATCTTGGGGCATTGCAGTAAACGGAGAGTCAGCCAGCCTATAGGAAATTAATTCAAAATAATTCAGGCTAATACTCTGAGTTCTCTGAGGTGTAATGCAGTATCTTCTCCCTTCCTCCCTCCTCCTGGCTCATTTCTTTGTACGGTTTCAGATTAAAAAAATCTCTGGATAAATATGTAATAACCGAAAGCACTGGGGAACTTGACCTGTCAGAATTTAAGTAAATTGCTAATTCTACTCAGAGAGAAGTTTTGCATTTGGCAGGCTAATATCTAAACAAACACGTTTGATAGGAATGAAGAGAGTAGTGTATTTGTGTAATGCTGATATATAAATATCATCTCTCCCTTGGGACTTGTATAGCAGTCTGTTGCAATTACAATTGCATTGTGCCAATTTAAAGGGTTGCTACAAGAATTAAAAAGCAAGAGAAGGAAGATGCGAGTACTTGGGCATAGTCAGGGCAGCAGTGGGATAACAGCTATTCAGGAAGTGCACAGAAGCAGAGGGCAGGTCTGGCCCCAGTGCTTTTAATTGTTACATACTTATCCTTTTTTTTTTTTTTTTTTTTTTAACATCTGAAATGGGACAAAAAAAAATGTGGCAATACTGACTGTAATTTGACTGGCTTGGGTATAAGTAGTGCAGCCACAGTAGAGTGCACCTGTGCTTGAGCTAGTTTATCCATGCCACCATATGGCATCCGGATGCATATTTTCTTCTCGATTACTCTACTCTCATGAATTTTTGATGCTCCTCACTTATCCTTTGCTTTTTTTTTTTTTTTAAAAAAAAAAACCTTTCTGGCCTGAGAACAGCTATCTCAAATGCTCTTCTAAGAGCTATAGTGAGGAGATTAGTTCAGAAAACTTAGAGTTACTGGTGTCAAATGACTGTAGATAGCAATAAAATTAGTCATGCACATGTGCATGTCTTGTCCAGCACTAGAACGCAGGACAAGCTTAGTGTGAACAAAAATGACATTAATCTAAATTTTGTCTTTACCATACAGAAATCTAAAACTTTATCCATAGCCCCTAGGGAAATACACAGTCTGGTTGGGTAGTCAAAGAAGCTCTCTTCTTTCACATAATTCGTAAACCATACATTGAACAGTTACCTATTTTAAGAATGCTAATATTCTTTGGTTCTTTCAGGGGAGGTTTTTTGCTAGAAAGTAATTATTCTGTGTATTTGTGAGAGACAATGAGCTGTTTCTCACATGGCAGTCTATCCTCACATGGCAGTATTCAAGCAGGAGCCTTGCAGGATATCTGCCACTGGCAATGAAACTTCCCCCTTGCCCGTCCTGCCTCCAGCAGCTGAGATTGTCAGTAAAATGTAAGGTCCAGGTGGTTTAAGCTGATGATCATGGACCATCAGCTATAAAATTCTCCTCATCCTGCAAGCAGTCTTACGGATTTGCCCACTGTGTAGCAATGCTCCTAAAAGACATAAGAATGAGGGTGACCTGTGTTCTCTGAACAGGTTAAGGAAATATTTCTGTTCTTGAACTGTGTACAGAGGTAGGCTATCCTAGTTAACAAGGTATAGCCACTTCATTAGCAATAGCCAGTAAGACTGTTGGAGAACTTTGCACTTTGTAACTGGTGTGTATTTTTTTCTTACCAAGTATCATCCTATTAAGCAAGGAAACTGAAGCACAGAGAGGCTTTTTAAAGAGAAATTTGTGGAAAGAACAGAATGAAAAACAGAGCTTTTAATTCACAGCCCTGTGTTTTAACCATAAGATTTTTTTTTCTCTTAAATTCAAGACGTCTCTTATTCTCTGCAAGGACTTACTGAAGGAGTATTGAATGTGTGCTGAGTTATTGCATGCTTCTGTCATAGCCCGTATAAAATCTGTAATTTTTTTTGTCTAGCAGGCAATCAAAATATTCCACTGCAGAAACAAAATAGGAATGTGCAGTAGGTATTTCTCCTTCAAATGAAAACCTTGATTTTGATCATATTTATGTATTTCTTTTTTTAACTTCAAATGCTGGTGGTTAGATTTGATTTATTTTTTTCTCCCCTTAAAAAAATGCAGGTTCCCAAAATAAATATTGGAAGAAAGTGTGATTGTTTTCCAGTTTTTCAGTTTTTAAAATGAGAAAGGGAATACAGTTAGGGATTTTTTTTTTTTTTGTCTTGCCATTTGCCAGGGAAAATGTACAGATTAAAGTCCTTAATTACTGCTATTTTATTTTTTATTGTGACAGTGATCTTTGGTGATCTCTGGTTCTGTTTGCACCTATTAATCTGGGACAAATTGTTACTTCAAAAATAACTGAGAACCCTAATGATTATTTAAGCATTCTTTTACTTATTTATTGTCTTTAGAAGAAAAAAAAA